GGGGTTCTTGGAACTCCTGGAACATGGCACAAAACGGTCCTCCTCCTGGGACCCAGCCACCACCTCAGCCCCCTCAGCCTAACTCCTCGCAGCCCAACTCCAACTCGAACCCCTCTGGCCCGCAGGGTGAGTCTTCAAGCTCAGTCAAACAAACTCTGTCCTCTTACCACCCTTTCGCATACAGCTCCATTTTCACATAGTCGAGCCTGGCTATAAGTTATCTATTATTTCGTATTTCTTTTATCCTTCATTGTCTTTCTCTGTGTCCCTGTCTGCCTTTCTTACTATTTCAACTAAAAACACATTATTTTTCTTTTTTTAATAAATAGCTCATTAGAAAATCTTTATTATTGATCATATCCGGGTGTGTTTGTATCCAGAATGATGTTCTAATAACGAATAAGCACGCGGCGAAGAGAGATACCGCATGATTGTAATTTAGCGTGATATCGAGAGAGATATCACGTCTCGCTTATTAACAGCATTTTTTTTTACTGCGAAAATTTATTCTAAGTGTCCCCTTGGATCATCCAAGAATGTAACACCCGTTTTGTTATAATGTCTTTTGTCTGTTAACGTACAATTCATTAATTGTAAATTGGCTTTCGGAGTTCGACAAGAGATGAGCTTTTCATGCATTGGGGTTGGAGGAACGAGAAAGCGAAGAATTTAATTATGTTGTAAAACGAAAGTGAAGAAGTTTATTTTTATTGAATAAAATTTTTCTCCTATTTGTAAGATCCTCTACAGATCCCCGATTCCCATGTAATTGCACATTTCGTTAGTTTGCCTAATTATCCGGAAATTCTAGTATCAGCGCTTGTTTCCCTTTTTTGCGTCCAGAATTGTTCGAGAGCATGTACTTTCGTTTGTACAAACTATAAATATGCGTAGTTTTTATACAGATCGACTTAGGATTACGAAAATTGTAAATCGTTATTTTATATATGTCTATTTTATTAGTGTGTATACTTAAAGGTAGAGAGAGAGCTATGCTTAGAATATTTGTTATGCTTATAATCGTTAGACAAGGTCCGCTGGATAATCGTAGTAATGTAATCATCGGCATCTCGCACTTACTCATTCACTACATCACTCTTAATTGTGTATTTTTATTTCCCAAATGGGTTATTCTTTGTCCTATGTAATTCAATACAAGTATTTTCTTTCTATTTTCATTGGTTGTTTTTTAATACCTCCCACGACTAGTAATTGGTCAGTGCTCTTTTAGTATTGGTATTTTTAGAGTAGATTAGGTATCTGGAAATAATTTTTTAAGTGTATTCACGTTGTTTTTTCTGAGCTATTGTAATTGTCATTGTAAAAAGGAATATAAAAATGTGGAATTTTATAAAAAAAAAAATATCTTGCTGTAATGTAGTATAGTGCAATCCTATTCTCGCTCCTTCCAGTTCCTCTAGAGTCTAGTAGAATTTGTGTCGAATTTGTCTTCGATTTTATTTCCTATTAAAATTTACATTGCATAGAATTTCTAGAATTTTATAACATAATAACAATTTACGTTTCCGATAGTAATAGACATCGATTCGTTTTTTAATCTGTCGAGATCAGTACAATTCTCTGCTTGTTTTGCATAATCAGTCTTTTACAAAGTCAACACGTCCAAATGCATTTACATTTATTCGTAATTGTCCACGATGCTTTTTAATTGCACGTATTTATGTCTATTCTCTACACGTACTGATCTTAATTTATTTAATACAATAATAATCCCTTTATGTTAAATTTGCTTTTTTATTTAAAATTGTTCATAAAAGAAAGCGAAATGAAATGAGAGAGATATATTTTCGATACTTTCATCCGATCGTTTGTAATTCACGAACACTCTCATAATAAATTCTCTGTCGTAAAGTAATGGAATTATGTATCGGTGCCTCGGTTATTCCATGGGAAGTATCCAAAATGTATCTTTGTCGTGGGGAAAACTGTCTCACAGCTTATGAATAAACGAAACGAGGTAAGTGGGGAAGTTGGATAATACGGTGAAAATCAATGTTCCAGGTGACATGTATTCGCGACAGACCACCGGTTCAGGTGCACCTGGGTCCAGTAGCAGTTCAGCTAAAACTCCGGATTATACTGGGTACTCTGCATATGGTAATTACGCTGACACCAGTTATCCTCAGCGTTCGTACCAAGGAGGAGAAAGCAACCAAGGTGGGTATGCCGCCAGCGCTCCTAAACCCCAGCAAGGCTTTGATTTCAAAGAGTGGCCCACCTCATGACCATTTTAATTGATCCGTGATGGAGAGATGCGCTGAATGGCTTGGCCTTGCTCGTGGGTTATTTCATATTACATTTTTAGAGAAACACGAAAACATACAATATTGCGCATTGATCGTGAGAATCTGTGCTCGAATTTTGGGACATTCTTTGGATCTATTTATATTTCATGGGTATACGAACAACAGATTTTATTTTGAGCGTCACGGTGTTGGATTATTTTAAAAAGTTTTCGAGACTTTTATACTATTTTTTCTAGAATTTATTGCGAATTACACGATCATGTTTTCTATCGAAATATCGTACGCGAAATGTTTTATTTATCGCTTGTTTAAACTCTTTCGAGAATTTACGAGAAATCGTTTAATTCAAAGAATGTCTCGATCAAGCCAGTATGTCGTTCGCGAGCGGTCGTATTTTCCAGTCCCCTCGATAATTTTGATGGAAGATAGTAATTTTCTGACATATCTTTTTCTGGTATTCGTATAAAGGAAAGTGGAGAATACATCTGCCCGACTTAATAAAATGGAACCGCCAAGGAAAAGAGGTTATTAGGTTCTAGAAATATTGATTTCATTGATCGCTCGCGACAACGGCCCATGATCTTATTGGGTTTCAAAGGTACTGTGGAAACAATTGAAACCACACATTTAAAACAGATAAACAGAGAGGAATAAGTAGCAAAAAAAGCAAGACGAACAAAATGCCAGGACAAAGAGTAAATGGACACCCATGGTGCAAGTAAACTTTTGTATGGCACTGGGATAGAGGGTAGGAAGCGGAACATAGAAGTATTATAAGAGTTAGATTGAATGGAATAAGTAAAATAAAGCAAATAAAACGAAAGCGAGTGTAAAGAATAAGGGAATGCTGAACATTAATTACTTACCAGCATTTGAGCGGGGGATGGATGAAATTTCGTTTTGAGAAATTTCTTCTCAGTGGATGGCACAAATTTCGATGCTCGTTCACCTTTTTGATACTTTTAGTGAACACTTCGGTAATTTGAAAATAAGAATAATTAAATAAAAGAAATACTATATTACGGTCTCCAGTGCAAGGTCATTGAATGACTGACACATTTGAGACACCCGTCCCTCCACGATCTCGTATTTATTAAAACAGATATGCTGGAATGAAGGAAAATGAAAACGTAAGGAGTAATTAATGAAATAATTAAGTAAGGTGTTCACACAGGCTGACTTATAATCTAAACTACAGAGATAGTGTAAAATAAATAGATCCTTTTAATATGATGTATGTATATCTATAACTTTATTGACAGCAGGCTGCAGTTTCCTTAAGCATGTTTTTTCTCTTTTCCTTTTTTTTTGTGTGTTTTGTTATTTTCATATTGTATCTCTTAGGCATATTGACGTTTAGTTCCTTTTTCTTTTATTCTTCTTCACTTATGACTTTTCCTAATCTAAATCTGGTCCTTTTCCGTTTCCATGTATCTGAAAAAAGTTGATTGTTTTTGGAGGGAAGAGGACGAGAAAGGAAACGAAAAAAAAGATATCGAATTTTTTAATGAAGATTAAAAAAAAAGAAAATTTGTATAATAAGAACTTTTGAATCGTTAGACACGTTTCTGTACTGTCATATTGCATCAAACATGGAAACTAGTTTATTTTTTATCTCGGATTTATAATAGTTAATTATTAGGCACCTTTAAGACTACAATTATTGTTACTATTATTATTACTTCTATGATAATTATTACTATTATACTACTATTATCATTATGAACTATTTACAGCTATTTATCACTATTTACTGTTGCGACTGCTCCTACTGCAACCATTATGATTGCACTACTATACACGCTATTATTACTGTCTATGATAATTAACAAATATTGTACGATGATGCTTATAAGTGTTTAAATTTTAGATGATTAGATATGAAAGAGATCATGATATCTACTGGATGGAGGGAGGGGTATTTGTAATATGTGCGGTGTACTCGGCGGGGGGCGTCGATCTGAAAAGTCTACCTGATTAAATATATGACTTAATTGTATTTACTCTGTAGGATTTACCATAGTTCTAAACAAGGAATATTTCGGAAGAATGCTCTCAAATGCTCATGTTTATTACTGAGCGAGTCGCGTTGTGTCTTACTTTGTCAATAAGAATTGCAAGTATTGCGCTAATGTAATTTTAAATTTTTTACGAGGTCACACTATAATCAGTAGGTTACAATTAATAACGGATCAACAATTTGCGTAAGCTTCCTCACTATTGATCTCAATACGATTTAGCTTTTTCTTTCCCTTTATGGCATCTGTTCTTTCTCTCGTCAAATTGTTGTAACTTTAACCACTTTTTTTTTCGTTTCTACATTGTTTTCTTTATTATTTCACCTTGCCATATTTCTCGTAATACACAAATTCGTAATAAGCGGTGCGAATTTTTTTTTGTGTATGTCATTGATCGACTTTCAAATCAATTAACTCCTGTACTTATCCTCCGCATTGTCTATTTAAAGTGCTCGTTACCATTTTCGGATTCGATACGTTTAATTAACAGTATCGCGTAGCATCGTAGTAACAGATATGTAAAAGTCGATGGGATGATGAGAAAGCATTAACAAACGCGACTCGTGGAAACTTCTGGGATCAACGCAATAACACATTTACTGACTAAACTAAAGACAAGAAAAGACGAGTAGGGAGCTCAATCAAAGGAAAACCACCTTTTACACTAATTATTATGGTAATTACACGAAACACGTAAAACATAACCGTACTCTCAACAGATACACATGTAACACGTACACTTCTACGCGCATAAAGAAGTAAACTAATTAAACAGAGGCCACAAGTTATTGAACATCCAAATAATAGTAAATTAATAAGATGCTAAAAGTAGATAATGAAAAAGAAGTTAAAATGAAAGGGCGATGACTTTGTGGTTGTACTAAATAATACGTTATTTAATACCTACTTGAGAGGCAGAGAGCGAGAGAGGGAGAGAAAGATGAGAGAGAGACTGTGAGAGCAGCAAATTTAAATAGCGAGAGAGAGAGAGAGAGAGAAAGTTTTTATCTTTACGGCTGTTTTTTCAGAACTTATTTTATAAAGTAATATAATAAAGAAACGTAAATGAAAAAGCCACTAGTATATCGATTATGATTATAATTATTACTACTAACTATTGTATTTCTTACTATTATCGATTTTTAAAATAAAGTTAAAGCGTATAAATTTAAAGGATTTTTAAGTGTATGCAAAGCGTTAGGAGAAAGTGATCATAATAACATTTGATTTATAGATGTATTAAGGATATAATTAATGTGTTTGCTGGAATCGGTAAGCCAGGTAAATTAATTTATATTATAATTAACGAGTCTCAGAGGGATGATTAAATTACTCTAGTACGAAGGGATGGGAAATGTGAGGGAGAAAAAAAAGTAAATAATGACACAAAGTTAAATGGCTGCCTTGCCGCACTTGTATATACATATATTTTAGGGTACGCTGGAAAAGTATAATATCGAGATAATAAGCGAAAGTGGTAGCAATGGATTTGAAAAAATACACACAAAATGATGACGAGAAAGCGGGACTATTCGAATAATTGACAATTAATAATTATAACAGATAATATATTTATATTTAACGCGATATTATTAGTATTTTTCAATACAGAAATAATGCATCTAATTAATGTAATAGGTAGCAAATAGGGAAAAATGCTTTGATTCTAGCTGTTGTTACTATCTGTCGTAATTTCGTCGTTTTTACGAATTACGACTTGCTCTCAGGGTTGTTACTGTCTTTTTTCCTCTTTTATCTTTTAATTTTCTACCTTTTTCAATCACTTTTTTTTATATTCTCCCTGTCTAAGATTTCACTTCCTATTAAAATCTTTGAAAATGATTGTATTTATATTTTTTAGGTTGGTATCTCATTTCTCTTCTTGTTCTTTCCTTTTTTTCTTTTTTTTTTTGTTAATTCTTTTTTTGTTAAATAAATAGGCACTGAACTCAGTATTTGAAGGAAGCATTCTCAAATGTTTTTTTTTTAAATCATTTTATGAGCGGTGTCATGCGGAAAAGCATGGTTTTTGCTGTAAAATATTTATTGTTGATTCGTAGGACTGAAACACTTTTTATTTCATATAGAGAAGTAATAATTGTACATTAAGGTTTAAGTAATGGGAGGGGGGAGAAGATCACATACAGCTAGATTTAATTCTTCGTTACTTTTAAGACATTACCAACAGGGAGAGTAAAAGAAACAAACAATTCAACTTTATAAACAATGTTAGATGTGTAATTTTTACAATTTTTACACTTTTGCATGTTTTAGTATTTTTCCTCTACTTTACCGAATCATTTACTATTTAAATAATCTTGCTGTCTTTTTCGCGTATTGAAATAATAAAATAATGTTTATTCATTTGTTCATGCATTTCATAAATTCGTTTAATCATTGTCTCTTCTATGTATTTTTTTTCTTGTTTTGTTTTTGCGAGGAATTTCTTAAAGATATATAATATATTTAGTTAATTCACCGTTTGCCTTAATTTAATTAGATAGTGCACGCATTCAATATTTTTAATGTAACGAACTTAGTTTGCAAGGTAATTAAATAATAAAAAAGAAAAAGAGTTAAGCATTCAATATTTAAAGATGAGATACGATAAATATATTGTAATTCCGGGGGCGTTACATGTCTGTTTTTAACGTTAACACATACTTGACGTCCCGCTCACTGAAGACTGGTCATTATAATTAAATGTTATACTTAAATAACTTACTATTCATATTGTAATTTATACAAGAAACAGTTTTTATCGATGAGTTTATCTTGTACTTTTAATGGATATTAATGTAATTAGTTGGTATCACAACGACGTATTGGCTATTGCATTTCTACACGCTTATTATTGTATTTCAATTGATTCTTCTAACACATTCGCATTTTTCCCCCTCTTGTTTGTTGGCTTAGTAGGCGAGAAAGAACAACGTCGAAATTCGATAATAGAGTACATATATTTGCCACGAATCAAAACGGCACGAAACTACGTGGGCATTTTTCCAAGTTGTAAGGAATAACGTTCGGGAAAGATCTGTTGGTCGCACGACGATGTATTTTTAACTTTCACGTTGAAATCATTTTTAACTATCATTCAAAGCACAAATTCCATCGATGATAGGTAATAACCAAAAAGAAAGTTAACCACTGCCTGAGCTTGTTCCTTGTCTATCATCGGTTTCGTTGCATGATCAGTTAACGGCCCCAGAATTTTGTAACTTTTCGAGCTGTTGCCAATTGTATCTTAATCATTGTGAGGCACAAAGAAAAGCAACAGAGAACAGAACAAATGAAACGTCGATTAAAGTTGCAACTTGTTTAACACTCAGTTGATCGCGTTCGAATGAAACGATAAGCGAAAGCTAGGAAAGGGAAGAATGGGGAAGTTGTCATTGGAGTAGCGTTCAGGTAGTGCAATGATTTCGGTATTACACGAAAACGTAGGCAGAATACACGCGATTTCAGAGAGGAAGGAAAACACGAAATAGAACAAAATTAAATAATAAGGAACGGAATGTGTGTCATATATGTATATGCATATATAGACGTACATACACTGTTAGAGACACGCGAGTACACTGGTACACACCGTGAATATTCTAAATTACGTTTACAGTAGATGCAGTTAAGGTATTAAATTCTAATTCTGCAAAGTGATTTTCTGCGCGCCTGTTAGGACGACGTAATTGTTGTCGAAAAAAAGAAACTAATTAATAATAATAATAATAATAATAAAAAAGAGAAACCTGTATAGTAGCGAAGGGAAAACATAGAAAATTAAAGGAAAAACAAAAAAATTGAGAACACTTCAAGTTTTACAATAAGAGAGAGACAGATAGAGAGAAAAATTCTAAATGTACTACGTTTATGTTAAGTACCCTGCTATAATCGTGAAAGAAAGAAACTTTATATCGACGTATAGATGGTGTATAGGCGAACCGTTTAACGACACGTTGTGTGCGCAAGAAAAATCGACACGTGTACACACACTCATCGACACACATGTTCACACACCACTCCACACTACTACATTAAAATGCTTCACATTCTGAGACTAAGGGCTTTGGGAGGGAGAGAATTTGAAAAAGAAAAAAAAAAGGGGGAGGAAAACATTTCTAAAGATTCTTAACGAAACCGTGAGTGCATTAGCGGATTGGAGAAACGATCGAATAGGAACGACTAAATAATAATAAGGCTTGTTTCTTCCTGAAATGTTACTCGAGAGCCACTAACCGCAAAAGAAAAATTCAGCATAAACGAAAAGTAGAAAAAGCAACAAACAAAAGCAGACACACAATTAAACAATAAAGAAAACGGGAGAAAAATGAAATTGATATATCTTTATTTCGCTGGAGAAAAATGAAACAAACGATTATCCGCTTTAGTGAATGGAATTCCTACAGTTTGGAATGCTTTGTCTCGCATTGAACGAACGAGAATCGATCGATCTACTTTTATCATATTTTAGTGTGAAGTATAAGATAAAATAAACGTAAAGAAATGAAATAAAGTCGACGATGACGATTGTAACGATAATAAATGAAATTGTTAACTGTAATAACATGACCTGTATACTTGTAACTTTTAGCATTATATTGGTAAGATCGTGCCCCCCTGTACGAGACAAACGATTAGAATATTTATAGTGGAACGATAGATAAATGTGAAACGACGACGAAGAAAAATAAGGAAATATGATTAAATGAAAATGATATATGTTATTAAGATTACGGTCGCATCGGCTGCCAGTCGAGAAAAGTAAACGGCCTAGCCGATGTGACTATGAAACGGCGAAAAAGTAATACGTATCCATGTTCATCATGTTTTACCTCAGATTTAAGGATACATTTAAGGATCTTTACGCTCGCACGCTTTCTGTCCATCTCATTCCCAGTGACCTAGGCTAGAAAACTCTCTGTACCGAATGGAGTGTCCGACTTTTCAATCGTGTTAAACAAATAACACGCTGTCAAGAATTTTAAATAAAAGTTTCCTTAGCTAGAAAAAATTGCACGTGAATTTCTTTTTTCGGGATATGTGTATTCATAATCCAGACGAAGTCGAACACTCCATTATCAGCACAGTAGCAGTAAAAAAAATATATATATACATACATATATATATATATATATATATCTATATATATATACACACACCAGGCCAAAGCGCATTGTCTCTACCTTTAAGAATTCTCTTAAGGAAGAGTCTAAGAAATTAGAGTTGTAGAATCAAGAAAGAGAGACGAAAGAAGTAAAAAAAAAAAAAAGGAAAACAGGACAGGATAAAGAGAGAGAGGAAGGAAAGGAATAATTATGTAGGAGGAGTAAAAATATTACAGATTGAGAGAGAGAGAGCGAGAGAGAGAGAGATTTTTTGTCGCGGTGAACATTATAATATTATGCGCGTTTACTGATAATAACGATTTAATGAACGATGATTAATTATTATTATTAACTACTATTATTACACATAATACAGAGAGCGGAGATGTTGAGAGAGAACACATGTTTACGTGCTATTCTGTATATATACACGTATATATACAATTTTTTATATATATGTATATATATTCCAAATATATATGTATATATACATATATATGATATATATATATTATTCATTACAACATATATGTATGTACACGCACTCGTATGTCTGCTCGTGTAAATGTATATCTTTAAAAAAAGCAGGACAAAATATATCGATATAGGGGCGTACGTATTTCTTTTTTAAAAATGTTATGTACATTTTGCATGCACGGCCATTCGTGCACGCGTAATGTCGACATATTAACATCTATGTATACCACATATATACACTTCTGTACACACTACAATTTTCTTCGATCTGCTTTATTTTTCTTTTTTTGTTTTGATTCTACTCTCGAGGGAAAATGGCTGTATAAAAAGAAAGAAAGAAATGGAGGGAGGGTGGGAAAATTCATTGAAAAAAAAGGGAAATTTAACGGTTGATATTCAGACATTGCAATACGGAACGAAAAAAGAACAGATGAGATAAGCAAATACCTTATTAGTCTTAATTAGTTGTGAATAAAGAAAACGAAAGGGGAAGGTAATGGACGGAGAGAGAGAGAGAGAGAGAGAGAGAGAATGAGAAGAGAAGAAACGTGTTCGGTAGGGAGAGTGAGAAAAGTGTAAGATTGTGTGTGAGAGAGAGAGAGACAGAGGGTAAATTAATTAGTCTTTAATTAAGTAGGAAGGAAAGGGTAGTAAATTGCATTCAAAACGTACACATCTTTTTCGACGCATGTATTACGTCTCGATAAAAACAAATATTCTTATCTTTCTTTTTTTTCTGTACAGATACATTTAATCGATTTACGCATTGCCGCGTTAACGATAGTTTTAGCTTTAATTAATTCGATAACTCAACTATTTCTTGGAGACTGAACGTAGT